CTTTAAATTATATCTATTTACACAAAAATATGGTGGAATAAACATGAACTAATCAGATTTCAGGTTGCATTTTATTCTCAATGAACCGAAGAAAATGACAATTAAATAAAGAGAACCACTTATTAAAAGTGGAATCATAAGATGGAGTGAACCCACAGGGCAAAATAAAGAATACAACGGCCGGCAAATATCTAGAACTTTTTCATTCTCTGTAGAGCTTTTCCCTCCCGATTCTGGACTCTTTGATTCTGTTTTGTTTCTTTTTGAGTTTTCAGTTACACTTTGATTTCTGTCCTTCTGTGTTTTCTGGGTCACTGGTTTCTTTTCCATTTTGTGTCACCTGCTCCCAATCAGTTGATTACTCCATTCATTGTTTTGTTTAGCATATATACTCCTCCTCTGCAGTTAGGCCGGGCATACATTGTAAGATATTTTCAATCATTGCACGCAGCTACAACTCAATCTGTACAATGAAACCACAGCTTTTAAAAGTTCGCAGTTCATGATTTGTGTTCTCCATCTGTACGACGTGACGCTCTGATACGATCTACCCGCTCACATTTTATGTCTAAAAACCACATGTCAGACTAAGCTCTGCAGTGAGATGGTGCTGGTCGGACTCATCAATGTTTGCACACGTGCAGAGCTGAAGGTTCTGGTAAATCCGTTCAAAGCTCTGCTTCTACAGCAGGATTTGCTCATGAAAACCTCAGGACTGCCGACTGAATTTCCAACATGTTGGATTTTCTCCCGACCTTATGATTCCTGGTCGGGAGGTGGTCCTGAGAGGCTGATCACATCTTGTTACTGCCTGTATACTACAAACAAGGTGTTTCCCAACCTTTTTTGACTTCTGCACCCCTTTGTGCATTTTGTCTTACCATGAGTACCCCTCTCTGTATTAATGATTGCCCAAAAGTGTAATGTACAATTACTGATTATAAAATGAAAACTAGGGCTGTGCAGTGGGTAGCACTGCTGCCTTGCAGCAAGAAGGTTCAGGTTTCGATTCCCAGCTTCAAATCTTGCATGGAGTTTGCATGTTCTCCCTGAGCATGGATTGGTTCTCTCTGGGTACTCCAGATTCCTCCCAGAGTCCAAAAAAATGTCTGTTATGTTAATTGGCTTCTCTAGATTCTTCTAAGGTGTGAGTGTGTGAATGGTTGTTTGTCCTGTGCGTCTCTGTGTTGCCCTGCGATGGACTGGAAACCTGTCCAGGGTGTACCCCGCCTCTCGCCCATTGACAGCTGGAGATAGGCACCAGCACACCTCGCGACCCCAGTAGGGTTGAAGCATGATGGAAAATGAAAATGATTTTATTAAATCTTAACTTTATTTTTTAATCTTAGGGATTTCATTCTTAGGCATTTTATTATTTCCATTGCAAATAAAAAAACTACATAAATATGTTCCCTGGAAGTTAGCAAGGAATTGAAATAATTACAAAATAAAATCATATATTAAACCTGTATTTATAAAACTGGAGCTCCTCTGAGTAACTCTCTTATAATCACATTTAAACTTGGTGAATTAGGAACAAAATTATAGTCAGACTGACTTGATGAGTTTTATTTCTTCTCATCAAGACCCCTGAGCTGCTTTGATGAGCTCAGTGTGACAGACAGCTGATCCCAGGCTGTTCTCTACATCCAGTCTGTTCCTCTGGTTGGTTTGGATGTTTGTCAAAGTTGAAGGAACTAAAAAGAACAACTTTTGATTGATAAAAGTTAGTTTAATTACTTTTTTCAATTGGATCCTCACAAAGCAGGACTACGGAAGCCGAGAGCGGTTGTATCAACTTTTTTTTGCCTTTGCCTTATCGAGATAATGACATAACTATCTGGTTATCAGGTTTTAACCATTAATTGTTTTCTTGAGACAGCAAGTCAATTATCTCATTATCAGGCAAAAACAGTTGTTGATTTCTTGAGATAACAAGATTATTACCCTGTATGAGTAATGAATGAGGCTGGACAACGGCCCTGGATTCCCAGTCCATCCATGCCTGCGGGGCCCCTAGTTATGCAGTCGCAGAATCACATGAGCGCAAATAATCAGTTTTTTAGTTTCCTTTTTCTTTTCAATCATTGTCAGCTCTAGATGGATGATTGAATACAATAGAAACTAATCTGACAATTTTTTAATGAAACTCTTTTATCTGGATTCATTTTGGGGGTTGATGCAGCTTATACCTGTTACAGTCGTAACACTGGGCTGTTTAGAAAACACCCGATGCTAAGGCGCTGGTAGCCTGGGTGCCAGTCCGAACTTAGTCCCGCCCACAAGGTTTGAGTTCGGGGAAGTTCGGTCTGGCTCTGCTCCATAGTAGCGCGAGTATTAAAGCCCACTGTCAGGCGATCCAATCAAATTGTCAGGGCGGGCTTTATACGATGATGGACAGATGATCAACAGTAACGTAATCAACCACGAGACCAAAGCGCGCTTGGGTGACAACAACAATGGCTGCCGCTGGAGAGTTTGGGTGAGTAGATTCTGCTATTAGGTCTGTTCTAGAAGATATCGACAGCAAATTAATTTTAAAAGAGGAACAGAGAAACGCGATCAAGTCTCATCTTCTTATTCTAGGCGTGCAACTGCACGCTTTGATTTTTGTGGACAACGACTATGCCTGGCTTAACATACGTCACGCACTCCGTTGCTCTTATTGGTTGTAGGTCTATCCAATTGAGTACAGAGGCATTTTTTCCTGGTTCGTTCGAAACACGCCCCATAATCACAGCTCTATGGAGCAGTATCAGACTCATATTCTGACTAGAATTGAGTCGGACTACGTCAGGCCAAGGCGCTGGAGGCATAGGTCTAATTCCTTATTTAAAAGATAAAGAGAAGCAGATCATGGCTTGTCTACAGGGAAAAGAAGGACTGGGTTATTTACTTTTGCCTTTTTGGAAACACAGGAAGGAGCAATCAGCTAAGTGAGCTTAGTGCTTGAAAAAAATCTTTCATTCCTTTTGAGACAGCATGAAAGGTCAGCTGATTACAAAACACAGAGAGGAAAACAAGAAGAAAAGGGACAAGAAGAGAGGGACACAACCTAGAACAAATAATGGATGTCTATTCTATTAACATTTCTCTATCTGTAGAATGGGTCTGTTTTATGTGTTGTCTTCTTAATTCAGAGGGGCCCCTGCCTGTCTCTGCCTAGGACCCCGAATATGCTAAACCCCCTCCTGCTAATCTGAACACTGGTCCTCCTGGTATTGCATACCAAAGGAACACAGGAGCAGACTATTGACCATGCAGTCCATCTGGAAAAAAAGGCGCAGAAAATGCAGGAAACAGTTGGGTTTTCTACTCCTACAAGTTAAGATTGATCCATTTCAAGAGTCAAGTGAAACACTAAGTGTCATCCGTGACAGAATCCAGCATCAGGGGGGCCCAGATGCAGCGACTCATCCTGCCGCTGCTCACCAGGGTCCCGTACATGGAGTCTATTTGGTTGAACCACTGAGTTGGTTCAGTAATAGTCCAGTAATTGCTCTGTTTGCTGGTAGCCTTGTTTTAACAATGCTGTTTTTCAGGAGAAGAAATATTTTCATAAATTGCACATTAGTGTATTTGTATAGAGCAACTGCACATGGATAAAAAAAAAATCATATTTGTATCACATCTGTCTTTGCAGGGTTTAAAAGGACCAGAAGGACATAAAGGAAATCGGGTAAGAAAGGTTTAATTATTTGTCAGTCATGCATTTATTAGGCATTAAGAATTGCATTTTGAATGATATTCTGACCTCTTATAAATTAAATCAAGAGTTTACCCTTTTATATTTAGTACAGCTTTCCACTGTATTTTAATGAATAATAATGACAGTCTGATTCTCGTACCTTTTCTGATTATATTTTTAAATGGCATGATAGTGAGGCAGCCAGTGTTCTGGTCCAGTGGAGCTGCTGCATGAATTGTTTTATATTAAGATGTAAAACAGATATATATTTTGATAGGAACAGCCAATGTGGTTAATTTTCCTTTTAAATGTCACTGTAAGACTTTTTCGTTTCAGGAGGAAACTCCTTTATATCCTCATGAAAAAAAAACATCTCTATTTAAACATTTTTGCAATTCTATTTCAATAGAAATTATTTTTGTAATCTGAACATGATAGAAATAGTCTTTTCTTTAGCATTTATGCTCCAGGGAGAATGAATCTTTAAAATCAGTTTTATTTGAATTAAACTCAGTTAATGTTTCCATTCCCATCCTTAAGGATCCTTTCCCAGCTACATCATGGCCTTGATATCACCGAATATTTGAAAATTTGAATGCAGTACATAAAAAAAAAGAAACCTCAATTTGACTTTTTTGTGTAAATTGTGTGAATCAAGGCTGTGAGATAGTGCTGGTCTTTTCTTTAACATTTGTGCTGTCTCCCTTTGTTTCTGCAGGTCTTCCTATCCCCTTTTCCCTCCCTTCACCTTGTTTTGTTGCCCTCTGGCTGTTTTTGCAGCGATTGCCCTCCTTACAAACCTTTTCCTCCACCTTCTCCCACATTCTAACGTCGTCCCGGGTTAATCATCTTCCCTTTACCCTCCCTTTACCTTCCTTCTTCAATTTAACAAGTTATTTGGTAATGCTATCTTTTATAGTACATCAATAACCATGTAATAACCTGGTAATAACTTAGATAGTTACACTATTTTACTAGGTAACAAAAAAACTTTATGGAGAATTTTGGTGAGTGCTCTGCTTCAAACTTTAGTCAGGCAAGGTAAAGTCAGACTTCTTAGATTTAAAAACCGTTATTACAATGTAACTAATGTTAATTTCGCAGACAGCAATAAATTAATTTGTTAAATATCTGGTAAAATACAGTTTATTACTTCGTATATAACAATTCAGTTTATTTCTATAGCACCGATTCACAAAACACATCATCTCAAGGCACTTTAAAATTCAACCAGATCATCCAGTCAATTTGAAAGTTTTCTATCTAATGAAAACCAGTTGATTGCATCGACTCATTGACTTGAAAGCAATCCCTCACACTAACCATGCTTGTGGCGACAGTGGAGAGGAAAAACTATATTTTAACAGGAAGAAACCTCCAGCAGAACCAGGCTCAGTGTGAGCGACCATCTGCTGAGGCCGACTGGGGTTCAAGGAGACAGAAGCAGAGATACAAAAAGGCAGCTGTAAAAGGCGGCACCATCTAGGAAACACACAGCCAGGCAGACGAGCTTCGAGCCAGCTCCCATATCAGAGCATTAAGAGAGCACATCCAGTTAGTCACAGTCAGAGAAACAGGACTACACTGAAAAACAGGCTTAGCCCAAACATCTATGCACGAAAGTGTTGATAAAAGCAGCACAGCTATTTCTCTACGAGATGGAGTCACAGAAACAGACCAGATGAAGCTACTATTAGAAAAAGAAAGAGCAGAATGTTAGAGATTGAACTCACAGATTCTGCAGAGTGGGAGAATAGAGATAGAATGAAGCAGAATGATGAAAAAGGGGTCCCTATGTCCTCCAGCAGTCTAAGCCTATAGCAGCATAACTATAGAGATAGCTCAGGATAACCTGAGCCACTCTAACTATAAGCTTTATCAAAAAGGAAAGTTTTAAGCCTATGCAACGAAACCTACAGCAAGCCAATCTTCTTAACTAAACTGTTATTAATATGTAACCTTAGTTCAGTTTTATAATGCTTTATTTACCTGATCATAAGTTCCAATTTACTTTGTAAGACATTGGTAGGTGGTGGCCAATAACAAAAACTATTATTTGGTAAGCTGATGGTAATTACAATGTTACATCGTCACATACAATTGGAAAAATTACATTCAAGTTGTTATTTTGGAATGATATACCTTAATCTTGGGGTATTTTTTATCAAAAAAAAGTTTCTCTTGTTACCAAGTACTGTAGTGCGACTGTGTTGTTACCATGTCATTACATGGTTGTTGATGTACTTTAAAAGAAAGCGTTACCAGTTATTCTTATTAAACAACTTCAATCCCTGGTCCTTACAATGAGTCTTTACAATTTCACATAAAGAATTTGGTCTGTGCTATCCTTCAGTCTTCTCTATAATCATGTGGCCTTTCACTTGGTGAGCAGTGTATTTTCTTGATACAGTGTCTACACTCTTGTACAGTTTTTCCAATCATACAACTGGAATAAAGCCTTTCAAACGTTAATGGTAGCCAAATGAAACTTTGCTATGTAATCAGGAACTCCTTTTTGTGCACAACAGAAATCAATTTAAATTTGCTTTTACTTTGATCTCAATGTCAAGTAATTGCAAGTATAAATAGTGGGAAATAGTGATGAGATGTGATGTGTTATGAGATGATCTGAGGCTTCGAGAAGTGAGTCCAGTTGTGGAGGGGGCGTTTCCGTGAAGCGCGTATCGAGGCTTGCTTCATTTAGGGGAGGGGCCAAAATCATTGACGTCTGAAGCCTGGCTACAGCCATCCCACGTGACCGCTTTGAGAAGTGGTTCAGATCACGCAGAACTTCGACAGGCATCTAAACAGGCTCAGTTTTCAGTCAAGATGTGGAGTTTGTTGGAGAGCTGCTGTCAGTTAGATAGAGTTTGGATAGATTCTAAAAATTCATTGGTTGGAAAAACAACCAATCTACTGTAGTTGGTTAAGACAATGTTGGTTTGATTAAACCATATAATGATCAGAATTTAAACAAGCCACTGGTTTCAGTTGTGTCAGTGATTTGTTGCTGTCTGAGGATAAAACCGCATAGATGTGGTGTCTTCTGTAAGATGTTGCCCTTTAATCCAAAGGTTGTGGTTTTGAGCAAAAGTTTTTCTACTTCTTATCCAGTATTTTGTCCAAAGTGACCAATTTGTATTGGTTTGCCATTTTAAAAATATAGATCGGGTAAAACATTTCTAAATGAGATTGGTTGGTTTAACTTAAAAAGATTGGTTGGTCACATAACTTCCAACCCAATTAAAATTAAAAACTCTTTTTTTATATGTTTTTTCCCTTTTTTTCAGATAAAAAGACTAACACTATTCATTTTGTTCATCATTGCCCAATATGCTCAGACACTTTCACTGTCTGCTTGAGCTAATTTCACTAAAATAACAGAAAACAGTGCAACTTAAAATATTATTCTCTTTTAAGACATTTTACTCACAAAATAACTAGCACATTATTTTATTATACAAACCCACCATTAACAATTTAAAGGGAACATCATGAAAACATTTTTTGCAAAAAATGACAGATTATATTACTAACTGTAGTTCTGCTTTCCACCAGTAAGTGGTGACATGTTCACATGAAGCTTCATGAACTAAATGGTTCAATGCCTCACGAGGCTTCATCTCACCTTCACTAGTGGGAAATAAAGGAAAATCCTTTGACTGAAAAACACTGTTGATGTTTAGAGTGTTCTGAAGTGGAGGCTCTTCTTTGTGAAATCATCTCCTGAGGTTCTAGAGGACTTTGGACTTTTTTATCAGGTTGTAAATTTCATTTGTATAATTTGTATAAGTCATTTTCTGCGATTACATTACCCACAGAATTAATGAATTTTATGAATCAAACGCGCTTATTTTTAACAGTAATATCTGACATTCAGTAGCTCTACAGTAGCGCTCTGATTAGTGTTGCTTCTGAGAAGCATCCCTCTGAATTAGTATGCGCAAGCAAACTCAAAACTACTGTTGCATCCAATCCTCAGGCAGAAAATATGATGTCATGCTTGATATACATTATTATTTAGTTAAGTATCCAAAATAAATTTCTTCATTTGCAAAAGTATTTTGATAAATTATCAATTATAATTATAGAAAAACACTTTCAGCTCAATCATCATCTGGTCGAAAAGTTGGTTAAGGCTGCCACTGGTTGGCAGTCTGTTGCAAGGCACTGTTTTATATTGATTCCTACAGTAATATTATAAGTTTACTCTTAGTTTTTCTTAAGAACACTGCTCACCAACTGAACGACTTGGACTCCCCCCTCTTAACATATGTTTACCCTCTTTTTTTTTACTGGTTTTACATTTCAAAATCAAATACTCTTTTGAAAAAACAAAAAAAATAAGAACAAATTAAGAGTTTAAAATCATTTTTTTTCATGTCCTCTAAATCGGATATATTTTCAGGCAGATGGCATAGTACAAAACTGTGCTTGATGGTTAACTTAGAAAAGGATAAAGGTTTGTCTTTTTTAAACACACTGTCTGCAGGGAGAGAGGGGCAAGAAAGGCAACAGGGGGGCCAAAGGGGATAAGGGAGACCAAGGAGCACCTGGATTAGATGCCCCATGTCCTTTGGTATGTTAGTGGATCACTGTGGTAAGTAAAGAGGCAAAAGGAAGCAGCACCATTTTGGAGTAAAATTAAATCCCACCGGGCTTTAGTTACCCTTCTCTTATTTGTAATATTATTCTTTTTTTATACATCAGTCAGCTTCCTTTTGGCTCTTTTATTTACTAAAGAAGGAGAAAAAGAGTTTTGGTTAGGTTTCCACTCAATTATTGAATCCAAAATCAAGTATTAATCAAATTAATTTAATATATTCACACATCAATACACCTAAATTATAACAAAAATCTTGTTATAAATTATTTTAGACAAATATTGTAGTTCTTAGTCTGACTTCAGACCAAAACTCTTTTTGACATCCTCTTTATTCAGGACATTCGAGATCGAGTCATTTCTGATGAATCTTAACAAGTTTTTTTCTTCCAGCAATTTTTCCCATTGTTTTTTTTCAGGAGTTTAATCACACTTAACGACATGGTTAGGGTGTATATGATCCTAATTAAACACACCATTACAAAACAGGCAGCAAAATTCACTTTCATTATATCAAAAATAAATCCTGTGGATCACCGTGAACACATTTATTAAAATGAACCTTTAAAACTGTGAAAAAGTGAAACAAGACGAGGGAACTCTTCAACTGCAACACTTCAGAAACTGATTTTAAACAGCTGATTTCATAAACAGGGCTTCCGAGGCTTTAAAGGGGAGAAAGGTGAACCAGGCTTGCCAGGCCTGGATGGGCTGGATGCCCCTTGCCCCGTGGTATGGTCTCCTTCTTTTCTTTTTACAACCTTAGCATGTCCTCTCTGTGTCTAACAAGGAAGATACAGATTACTAAAACATTTTTCTCTCAACTCTTAGACAAATTTGATCATTTTTACGTCATTTCCATGTAGTAATAAAGCAGAACAACTATCAATCTTAGACTAACAAGCATGTCTGCTGTATGTTTTTTTTTTTATCACTGCTGCTTTATCTTCAGCTTATTGACTCTTACTCCTTCTTTAGTACACTAACAGTAAATTTAAATACTGCATGACATTTTCCCATAACAGGGCACACAGAGTCAAAATTTTCAAGAAAGCAGAGGACCTTGCTTATTCAGCCAGGCTAACTCCCCTTTCAGACACTTAGACGGTATGAGGCATTGAAGGCTAACAAAAGAAGCCAAATGACCCCATTTCCAAAGGGGTGGACCCCTTTGTCCGTTTCAATTTGCATGTTTTCAAAACAAAAACAAGGCTTTGTTGGGCTACTGTATAAAACCTCAAACTATTCCTGACATTTTGAACTGAAAAAGCTTCCTGGATGGGAAGCGAAACGTCTTCAAACTTAGAAACAAAGTCCAGTGGATTGTTTTCAATTTTCTTTTTTTTTTAATGGCTATGACCAGGATGACTGAGAATCTTCACCAGCATATACACAATAAAAGGGAGTGTGAAAGGGTGCAAGAATAAAACCTTACAGTTAGTTTTCAGCAACACATTTCCTCTATACATACTTTAACATCTCTCATTAAATTAAAGGAAACTTCCTCAGTCGCAGTTGAAGCGGTAGCTTTACTATGTTTTTTTGACAAAAAGACATAAGTGTGCATCAGTCTGAATGCAAAGATGATAACGTGCATGTAGTGTTGTTTTGTATATATATATATATTTATTCAGAATGTAGGTCCATACAAAATCTACACCCAATTTACAATATTTTTTTTTAGAACCTCAAAAAACAAAACAAAAAACCCCACCCACTCTCTCCATGTAGCAACGCATGTAATAATATTACATTTGGCATTAACCATATTTTTGAAAGGACAATGTTAAGGGAAAAGGATACAACAAAAATATTGGTATAATTGAAACATTACAGTAAAGATCAGTACTAATAAGAATCTCAGATCTAATCTGGTTAGAATGACCAGGAAGGGAGTTCATATCCTGTCAAATTTAGCCAATCTCCCACGTATCGATTAGATTATTTTTTTTCAGGAGTACAGTATGAAAAGAGTTTCTTGATCCAATTTTTCTTGTTTGGAGGATCCATAGATTTCCAGTTTTTAAGTATACACTTTTTTGCTGCAGATGATGCACTGCAAAAAATGGAAATTTAAATAAGTAATTTTTGCTCAAATTAAGTGCATTTTTTCTTGAATTGAGAAGGTAAGTGAGACATTTTGCCAATGAAACAAGACAATTTACATTTAAAATAGGAAAAAAAAAATCGCTTTGTCTTATTTCAAGCGTATATTATCTAATTATCTTATTTTCGGAGTAAAGATACTAATTCCATTGGCAGATCATCTTATTTACCTGCTCAAATTAAGGGTAAATACACTTAATTTAAGAATTTTTTTTATTATTCCTAGATGTTTTTTGTAGTGTGATAACAAAACAAAATTTTTCTTGAAAGAATTTTATTTCAAGGACATAACATATCCAAGTATGCATATCGTGTGGTCGGGATGTAGAGAAAGCCCACAAACTGCTGATGTTATCACAATAACATTATCCCAGTAGGTTTGCAAATGTACACAATTCCAAAGCATATGAAGAAGATATCCTACAGACGCTCTACTCTTCTGGCATTTGTCACTAATACTAGCATTATGCAGTGTTGTTTTTGACAGCCATGAAGATGTCCTCAAGACGAAAACTATTATTAGTTTTAGTCGCATTTTAGTCATTACTATATGTGATAGTTTTAGTCCAGTTTTTGTCTAGTTTTAGTTTTATGTTGCAAAAATAGTTAACTTTTACAATTTTAAAAACAAACAAATTCTTTACCAGACTGACAACTCTAGCCTAGGTACCACAATAGTTGGGTATAGAATGCTGCTGTGCAGTTCAATATTGCTGTTGGACAGAAAACTTTGAATCATAGAATTCAAAAAAAGTTTTTTTATCAACTAATGCCCCACTTTATAAAAAAGATTATATGGTGCAAGGAATGTGCAGGTCAGCTGGCTGGTGTCCTCACAGACATTTTTAACACCTCACTGGACCGATCCGTAGTACCAGCATGCTTCAAGTCTGCAAAGGAGATGCCAAAAGCTGGTGTCGATGAGGAAGCAGAAGTCCAGACCAAGAAGGTTAGAAGATCAGAGATCCGAAGAGGTACCATAGGGAAATCCAAGCCGGGATCAGGTAGCAGATCCAAGGTTGTGAGCAGGCACAATCCAGCAGGAGTCCAAAAACAGGTCAGGGAGACAGATGAGAACAGGAGCAGGCAAAACTTAGAAGTCCAGGAGTAGAAGCTAGTCAGGATCAGGCAATCAGAATAAAAAACTGGGTACACCAGAGAACTCTCCCCTACAGCTCGAAAAATCTGCCACTGATGGCTGGGACCAGACAGTTTAAATATGAACTGGAACAGGTGGATCTGATGAATGATAATGAAAACTGGGCAGAGATAGGCAGGAGGAGGAAATAACCGAATAATTCTGTCATCAATGCAAAGATTATGACAACCACTGTTTTTGAAAAACGTCTACTGTCATTCACAACGTCTTTGGATTCAAGTATCATAGTTTTTTTTTTACAGAATTGTTCACAATGAAGTATGCAACCACAATCTTGATGATCTGCAATTCAAGTAGTATTTTTTCCCCCATAACTCATGTTTCTGTTCTTTAACCTTCTGAGTAAAAAAAAAAAAAACTTATTCTCTTGTTTTGTCTTACTAACAAAAACTGCCTTCATTTCACTTTGGGTTGGTGTAGCTGCATGCATGTGCCGCTTTCTAAATTGGAAAAAAGATAATTTTCACCTAATCTCATCCCTAGACTGTGGGAAGCTTTGGAGATCCAATGACCAGAATGTCAATCAGAATGGTCTGTTCTAAGTATTACAGTAAAGGGTCATCTTTACCAACCAGTAATAAGAAAATACATAATTTAAAAAACAAGTCAAAGCACTAAATATTAATATGTTCATAAAACTGATATTTCACATGATAGTATCAGCCTACAAGTGGGCTGGATTAGTGACCCAAGTTGCCTTTTTTAGGCTAAATTTGGTTAGACGTGTTAACTAAGCCTGATAAAACCAGACTAAATGTGAAATTAAATGTGTAATTTAATCTGGCCCCAATGAATGAGACATAGGAAGATTGTTGATGAGAACAACCCGTTGTTTTTCAAACCATGTCTGTGCCTATTGGCCAACGCTCTGACCAATGAGAGCAAGTGACTGTAAGTGTGACAGAAAGCTGGTGGTGGAGTGTAAACAAACAGCCTGTTGGTAAAACGGCGAACCCGTCCTTCTTTAAAATGAATGACCGTAGAGCCTCTTCCTGCTCACATTTGAAGGAAAACCCCAATTCTAATCCTTCCTAAACTGATTCCAAAGCTGAGTCAAACAAGAACTGTTCAATAGTTGTTGCCATCTTCCTTGTTATGCTCCTTGTTATTCTCCAGTGTCGCGCAGCTTTGTTGTCACGCCCTCAAAACCCCGCCCACTTTGCATCCAGAAATTCAAAACACATCTCTGCGTTGTGATTGGCCCGCAAGTTCGAGGGCTTGAGGCTTTGATCGAGGCAAGACCACTCAAAAGCAAAAATGATTTGCGCCGTTGGCAGGTGGGACTAATTTACTAGACTAACCTTAACTGGAATATTATGTTCAATTCGTCCTCTTCTCTTGCTTGATAAGAAATTTCAAATAAAAATCAGTGCAACAATGAACAATTGGTTCTGAAACTTTATTTACTGTATAATAAAACCTTTGTCTAAACTCATAGGTTGAGACAAGGCTCAATATAATATATTGTGTCAAACCTACTTTCCTTGATCTTATTTACTTATTTAGCTCTACGATCTGAAATCAGAGAGCTTTGGCTTCTCTCTAAGGTCTCTCTTTACCATAACGGATAGGTGCAGCATTTGCATAATAGCAGCAACCGCCCCAATCTGTCTATCCATCTCCAACTCAACATTCTCCATTCACTGGAGAACAGGACCCCAACATAGTTGAGCTCCTCAACCAGAAGGATATAAGCCAGCATTTCTCTGAACCATGGCCTCGGATTTGGAGGAGCTGATTGTCATCGCAGCTGCTTCACACAGTAACCACCCCAGTGTATGTCAGAGGTGGGAGATGTGGAGTCACCAAGTCATCTCTATATCATGGATTTATTCTGGCCAGCCACTGAACCCGGTCAGTGAAATCTGTGAACTAAATTGTGTAGATTTGACTCAGCTGGTTCAGTGGCTGGGCAGAACAAATACATGACATAGAGATGACTTGATGGCTTCATATCTGCCACCACTGGACCAGTGGCAGAGGGCAGCGCTGTCCGAGTCGAACATGCACCAGGAACAGGTCCAAGTTAATGCGGACCAAGCTCCTGCTCTGCTTGGACAGAGAAAAGATGGCCCCTTGTAAAGAGCCCCTGACTTTGTTCTTCTGAAGCGCCTCCCCACAGGGCACGGTCAAATGCCTTTTCCAGATCTACATAACACCTGTAGACTGATTTGTCAAACTACCATGACCCATCAACCCCACCCCTTCATAAGCCAAATCAACGGTCAGAGATCTCCCTTCTATCCAAACGTGAGGGCATGCAACCCTCTTGTCCACTGGGGTATACTCCAACATGAGGCGGCTGAAAACCCTACTCCGCCCTCAGCCTTTCCCCACTGGCCACTCGAGTGGAGTAGAGCATTTGAGCTCTCTCAAAGATCTGGGTTCTGGAGCCCATGCTATGTGTGGAGGCGAGTCCGATTTCCAGCTCTTATCAGTCCACCTCCCAAAAAAGCTCATGCTCCCTTCCCACCAGGGAGGAAACCTTTCACATCCCCAGAGCCAGTTGAAGTGTCAGTGAAATCAGGCCACCTATGCCCCCGCCTTTGACTGTACCAGTCCCTCATTTTTACACCTACAGATAGTGGCCCTCATGTTGCTCCTTCCAGCTGGGCCCGGCTGGGTTTGTGAGGAACATCTGGACCAGCAGGTACTCGCTGATCAACCCTAAGCCCAAGCCTGGCTCCAAGGTGGAGTGGCAGCTCCACCATGCTGGGTGTACCTCAGTTTTTTAGTCATCTTAAGGGCTTTTTGTCACCAAGAGCTTGTTTTGCCTTGGGAGACCCTATCAGTGGCATTTAGGCCCCAGCACTGAACAACGTCCCCTGCATCACACTCCCCCATCCCCCAAATAATGTGGCGGTTACAGGGAAAGCAAAATGTTTTTGATTGAATCTTTTCTCTATATTTGAATATCCTAACTGATACTTTATGTATGTGGCAGATCAATAAATGAAGCATGCACAGCTCTTAAATGTTAGAGGTTTTTTGATGATCTGTGGATGTTTGGGTTAAAAATAAAAACGTTGAAAAAGATTGATGTCCATAATTTTTACATTCAGTTATTGTCTTTATAGGGGGATGATGGCTTACCTGTTCTAGGATGTTGGAATAAAGTAAGTAGAATTTTATGGTATGATAGTATTTCTCACAAGTTTATGTACTTTCTAAGTTCACCACTAACATTGCACTTTGTTCCCTTTTTGCAGTGATTATAACCTTGGAATGGTTTTTATGTCTCTGAAGAGTATATTTATTTTTTTACTCATTCTTTTTTATATATTTTGAATTTTATAGGAAATAATGTATTAATCTGATATATTTTAATTTAATCATGAATTGAAAGTGATGATATAAATTATTTGTATTAATATAACTGAAAAGTAAAATTAAAACACAACATGCATGATTAAGGAAGAATATGAGTGTGTAATGTGAAATAGTCAATGTTTACTACTGTATTTGCTGAAAATGACAGCTGGACTATTTTTCATATTTATTCTGTTCTTAACATACCTTAAAGAGATATGAGACTCAAACACAGAAATGTGGGAGGATAGGCAGTGGCGGGTGGGTGGGGTTGTTTAGAGGCCAGTAGAGCTTTCAGGGTGATGCCTGCAACAGCTCAGACCAGTGTTTCCTAACCCTTTTTTGACTTGTGTACCCCTTTGGACATTTTGTCTTACCATGAGTAAGTATTGTCAAAAGTATTGATGATTGTCCAAAAGTGGAATGTACAATAACTGATTATAAAATAAAAGCTATACTACTTAATCTATTAATTGAGCATTTAAATTTTAGGCTTTCCATCCCAAATAAAAAACATAAATATGTTGCCTGAAAGTTAGGAAGGAATCAAAATAAATGTGAAATAAAATCATGTTATACTTATTTTTAAAACTGGATCGCCTCTAAGGGAGTACTCGTACTACTAGAGTTACAAGTACCCCCTTATAATTACATTTTAACTTGATGAATAGTGAACAAGAATTATGGTTAGACTGACTTAATTAGCTTTATTTTTTTTCATCAAGACACAGGAGCTGCTTTGATGAGCTCGGATACTGTAGCTCAGTGTGAAAAACAGCTGATCCCAGGCTGTTCTCTACATCACGTCTGTTTCTCTTCTTTGTGAGTGTTTCACAGTTCAATTCAGTTTATTTATATAGCGCCAATTCACAACACATGTCATCTCAAGGCACTTTACAGTTCACCAGATCATCCATTCAAATTGATTAAAAGTTGTCTGTCCAAGGTAAACCAGTTGATTGCATCGACTCATTGAGTCGAAGGCAATCCCTCACTTTAAGATTAACTCAAAGAAGAACTTACTTTTTGGTTGATAAAAGCTTCTAAGCAAAAGTGTATAATTTTTCAATTGGGTCCTCACAAAACAAAAAAAGATCCCAGCCCTATTTTATTTTAATACCTAAGAAATCAAATATTTACATGTACCCCTTGCAATTCACTCGAGGACCACTAGAGGTATGAGTACCCCCGGTTGGGAATCCCTGGCTTAAGCCCCATTTACTCTACCCTTTTGAAACAGTGGCGAGAACAGTAACCAAGATAACTGTTGAGTGTAAATGGAATGAAACTGAAATGGACCGTGCCAGATACAACTGAACTGCATTTATTCTAATACTAGTTCAACAGTAGGGCTGGGCACAGTTCATCTGTGGCTCAGTTCTCTGATAACAAAGAGCAAATGAGCAGACCGCATCGTCTCCTATTTATAGTCAGATGACTCATTTCGTGGGAGGAGGAGCAAACATGACTTCTTCTCAGCTTACTAACAATTAGTGCCATCAAAAGAGGGTGGTATGACCTGGGATGATGCCGAGACTGAAGCTCTCATTGAATTCTGGGTGGAGGACGGTATCCAGGCACATAAGTTCCTGAATGTAAGGGGCTCCGCCATTTTTGTTCGCATCATTCCGGCCTTGACAACTGTAGTATCGTGTGGATTGCCCATAGGAGGCAATTACCGTGCTAACGTGAGGTATTAATTAGCGTACGAACCAAGCTTGGCACGGTTAACCGATGGTGATACCTTCTTTTGGACATCTTAGACATCCTGGACATCCTGGTTGCAAAGAAAGCAGGCTGCCACAAACTCCCGCACATCATCACACAATAGAAGGTCACCAAAACTGAGACCCAACAAAACAGATGATTTTGGACACACCAGGATGACAGAACAAACGGGTAGCATAACAAAACTCTAAAATCATCTCCCTGAGAGCTTCAGGAACAAACAAGGGTCACTGGGGCAGTCAGTGGGAGAGGGTTGGTCGAGAAGAGCCTCCCGGACCTCCTTCCCAATGTCAACCACAGTGATCTTACATCTCACAGATACAACGCATCAGATTTAACATTCTTGGACACGAGTCTGTAAGACAGAAAAATTGAAACTACCGAAAAACAGTGCCCACCGCGCCCTTCTGGGATTGAGTCTCTTAGCAGACCTCATGGAACTCAAAATTTTTGTTTTTGGTCCAGATCAGAAATGCAGTACTGGAACTCTCCAACCAGTGACTCCATTCTTCCAGAGCCAGTTTGACTGCCAGCAACTCTATGTCCCCAACATCATAGTTATGTTCTGCAGCTGACAGCTTCTTAGAGAAGAAAGCACATGGGTGAATCCTCCCGTCCTTAGCCTCCAGTCTAAGAACCACCCTGACCCGAGTACTGGAAGCATCCACCTCAACAATAAACTGTCTCTCGTGGTCTGAGGACACCAGAAGTGGTGCCGAGGAGAATACGGCCTTGAGTCTTTTTTAAGAAGCCCAATCAGCCTGATTGTTCCAACAAAACCTAACCTTGACTGATGTAAGGGCATGGAGGGGCGTAGGCACCTGAGTGTAGTTCCTGATGAACCTGCGGTAAAAGTTATCAAACCCCAGGAACCTCTGAAGTCACTTCCAATCCCTGGAAACCAGCCAGTGTGTGACTGCGTGCACCTTCAAGGAATCCATAGATATCTGGTCAACGGGGACCACAAAGCCCAGAAATGACAGTGTCTACATGAAACTCATATTTCTGACCCTTTACAAACAACTGTTTCTGTAAAAGGCAAAACAGTACAGCTCTGACGTGTTGCTTATGGGACTCCAAGTCGTGAGAGTAGATCATAATGTCGTCATTGTAGACGAAGACGAAGTGACCCACCATCTCCCTGAGTACCCGATTGAAAAAGTTCTGAAAAAACGCTGTTGTATTGGTGAGTTGAAAAGATATCACTAGATATTCATAGTGACCGGTGGGGGTGTTGAATGCGGTCTTCCACTCATCACCCTCCCGGATGCGCACCAAACGGCAAGCAATATAGAGATCAAGCTTGGCAAAGCCTGAGCCTTTCCTTTTACTGGACAGAGTCTGGACCGAGATGAGATGGTTTACAAGTTGTTGTTTTTTTTGTCAGGAATAGGGGAGAGTGACAAGCTGCGATTTTTCTGTACTGTCCCTTTTTATTATCATTTTTTTCTTAGAAAGCTTAAAGATTATCACTATTTTACATTATCCAATTTCCGTCTGCTTGAGCTCCTATGATGGATAATGCAATACATTTTAAAAAAATGCAAATGTGTTTGTTTATGCCAGATTAACACATTTTAGTTTGTTTTTCTCCCAAAGCAAATGTTTTACTTTCAAACCGCGCCTCTCTTCCTTTCAGATCCATGAAAAATTTCCTCTGAATTGCTGCCTTGTCCAACTAAAACAGACCTTCTGTCTATCTTAGTCAGAGCTATGCAAGCTCCTTCTATGAGTGCTTAACGTTTTGAACTGTAACAACACGATTTTCTTTCAGATCAGAACCAAGAATCAGAAGTATTCGGTGTATTCAGGATGTTTAGCCTTTACGTTTTAGGAAGCTCACCTTACAGGTCCCTCCTCCTTGCTCCTTGTTTGGCTAGAACCCTACCTCCACTGCTCCTTTCCCACAGCAGAGCCTACAGAATGTGAAGTCTAGGAAGAAGGGCCAAGGATGGTAGTGGACAAACAGCTATGGCACATTCACGGTAGGAATGATGCACAACTATGCGCTTTAGTGATGTACAGCTGCAGCACACCAGCAATTTTGAGCTTGAATGGCAATACGTGCTATGCAGTAAAGGGGTGTTGTGTTGTGCTAACAAGAACATGGTTAAAACTGCTAAAAGCTGGGTTATGCTTAAAGCATGTACGTTCCATGCTAAAAAGAGGGAGTCTATGCTATGCTTTCCCCTTTTGCACATAATATTCGATGGGAGAGAGTCTAGGGCACAGACTGCAGACTTATAACACCACAAAACACGCAGAACTACAGTAGAAGCTGTTCAAAATGTCCCCACTTTTTAAGTGAGCGCCATCTCACTGCAGAGCTGAGTCTGATGTGGTTTTTATACTTACAGTTTGAGCAGGTAAATCGCATCAGAGCGTCAGGCCGTACAGTGTGAGAACATCCATCGTGGGCTGTGAACTTACAATGAAACCGCAGGGTTTTATTGTACAGTGTGAGCTGTGGCTGCAGGCAACGATTAAAAAAATTGTACAGTGTATGCCAGGCTTTAGCTTTTGGTCATTTTTAAGACCTGGTCATTAGCATGGGTCTTTCCCTGCTGGTGCTTCTCAGATATGTACTGGCCTGTGATCATCCCCCAAAGAGAAAAAAACTGTGAGATTTGGTGTTTTGTCTTCAACACAATTGGGACATCCCCCTTCTGGAATATTGTCCTGTTGGAGTGGGCAGGAGGAGGGTTGGTGAAGGAGAGATGTATGTCAATGAGAACACAATAACCTTTGGATCCCAAAAGGACCTCTTATAATAAATAATTAATAAATTTTAACCACACAACAAATGAAGTCCAGAACACACCCGGAATCCGATTTTTTTTCCGATCCGACAGAAAATCGTGTTGGATGAGGTCGTGGCGTTTAGCGCTCATCGAAAGTCACTAGGGATGATCACACTTGACACGATTTCCTTAGGTGGGTAGCGTAGCTCCGACTGAGTTAGAGCCCAGCTCTATTTAAAGGCAGGCATAAATGGCACAATTTTTGCCCTTCTCTGATTTTTTAAATCGGTCCAAGTTTCAGCCTGGTCATGCATCCTGCGTCGTGTAGTATACAGGGGGTAACGAGGGGCAAATAGCCTCTAACGGCTATCTCCTGGTCAGGAATCATAAGGCCGGTAGAAATGGATATGCCCAAAATTGAAAAAATATACAGAAAGTTCAGTATATTCCCACGTTTTAGGAGATTCGGGGACGTCGGGCATACACAGTCTAAATCTGCAAGGTGTGAAGTTTTTGCTAATCATAACTTCTAGAGCTACTTGTAAAGTTCCAAATAAACAGATATTTTCTCCTAATAAATTGTCAAGGGCAAATGAGAGTACCAGTCCCAGAATCAAACAGTACTCATTGAGAAATGTGGGTACTCTCATAAATTTATACATTTAATTTAAAGCTTTGAACAAATGTTAACAATAGAGAGACGTCCCTGCAGTCCCTAGATACCTATCACGGCAAAAGTTCCACTGGTTTCTGATGTAACAAGATGCATTTTAAATCACCACTCATTCAAACAAATAAATGTGGCTATTTGTCTGTAGCCAACAAACAGTTGGACTTGGAGTGGGTAACAACAGATAGTGAAATGTGGACAGTTGCTAAACCATCACTTCCAATCCACTGGATTGCTGATTGGCCGAAAAACGCGGAGCCACCGGCCGCCAT